ACGATTAAAAATGGAATAATAATTTCTTCTAGATATAATTCTCATATTATCTATGAATTTAATATCCAGGATTTGAAATAATAGATATTAAAAAGATATTGAAAAATCTTTTACAAAATTTCAATAAAGAGGATCTATTTCACTGCACAATCATTCGTGAAAAGGATTGTGCAACAATCGTAATGCATATCCCGTCACTGAAAAAGGAATAGGTTAAAAGGCGGCAGTCTTCGAAAGGATCGAAATTGCAGTTTCAAGCGTCCCCTGTCAGTTTTCATATGGAAGATAATTTTCCTAGATGTTATATTCGAAACATGAGCGTACGCGTATGTACGTACATAACAACCGAGTCTCGCGTAATTGTCGATTATCGATCTCGCGTGGCGTGCGTAAAAAATAACACGGGAAAGGGTCACATACATAATATCGTGTACGCTTGTACAGTTATTGTGAAAAATATACGAAAGAAAGAAAAAAACTACCCCTTTTTTACTCCACGCGATATAGATTATTGTAATTTTATTCGTTATTTTAATTCTTAAGGATTGAAGATGCTATTTTTACAATTTTTTATAATAATATGGAATATATTAATCCGCGTATTTCGATGATACTCGTAAAAAAATTATGTTAATGAAAGAATAGAACTTTGATCAGCCAGTGATTGTTTGCACCATATATTGGTTAAAATGAAACGAATCTCAGAGAAGATATCTCTTTAGTACCATTTTATGGAAACTTTCAAGGAATTTTCATCTACTATCGATAAATCTTAAAATTTCCTTGATTAAATTTTACGTAACAAAAGATGCAATTTCTTAAATTTTATCTACAATTATATATTCTTTACAATAGAAAAGTTCGTACAATTTCAACATTATAAAATATAGTTTATAAAATATTATATAATAAATCATATTGAAATATAAATTCTATAAATATCAATTCTATCGATCCTATCGACTAAAAAATTGATTAAACAAAGTACGAAAATTAGTCGTAATAACGTTTCCAACTACGCGTAAATAAAATTTAACGAAACAAATTATTTGATCAAACTTCCGTGTTGAGTTTTCAGCGCGCATTAAAAGATGGCGCCACCAAGCAGAATTGAAGCCTCAACTTTCCAAAACCAGCCGCGAGCTGACGCCACCAAGCAGAATCGAAGCCTTAACTTTGCAAATCTTGCCAACAGCTGGCGCCACCAAGCAGAATCGAAGCCTTAACTTTTCAAAACTTGCCGACAGCTGGCGCCACCAATATCTCTGTCGAATTATTCTCTCCCTGTGTACTCTCGGCTGCACCCCGAGACAATAAATTGTTGTAATTATAATAATCCCGGTGTTTAAATCAATGCTTGGTGTTTACGCGGAGGCAACCGTGTAACCGGCAATTTCAATTCATTATTCTTACAAAGCCATATTCGGTCAACCATCTCTTTCGTTCCATCGTATCGTATACCCTTAACCGAATTCCCGTATAGCGTAAATCAGCCAATAAGGAACAATAAGGAAGAGACCAGGCCTTTTTTTTCGAGTCCGAGTACCACATTCACGAGATCGCGCACACTAGATCGTCTCGTCATCGATAGATCCAGCGTGCAGCTTTCTAAACATCGACTAATTACCCCGATGAGGATGCAGAGAGTTGCAATCCTCGAAGAAGCGTTGCTTGGAACCAGCCGCGTAATTAAAAGCCGCGCTCTCCTCCTCGTTCCCCCGAACGAGCGACCCATACATCTCGCCGTAAACTTTCCAAATAATTATACCGAGTATTATTTAATTCAAGTAATGACTACCGTGGCGAGACCGAATGCCGTAACACAACAGGGCCGAAACAGAGGAAAGGAAGGGTGGAGGAGGACGTAAGATGAGAGAAGTAAGATTTGTCCTGGATCTTAAAGTCGCGTCTCCCTTCCACGCCTCCCTCCTCCCTTTCCCCCTCGCCGCTCTCTGCTCGCGTGAATAATTCGCACGTAAGACGAATTTCACGTTCCCGCGAGGCCAAGCGTACATATACGATTTTTTTCATCGAACACCATCGCCGAGTTCCCGTGAAACACGCCACCCTCCCTCCTCCACCCCTCTGTCCCCCTCTCGGTATTATCCGAGGCGCGAGATGTGTCAGAAGACACGAGGAGAGATGCTGCGCACGGGGGAGGACGAGAACACCAGTGAACAACCGGGCTGGTTTGCACGTAGCAATTTACGGAAACCGCACGTAACTCGCGTTCGAGGCGGAGGGACGAGGACGAAGTCGACACGGAGCGTTTCCACGGAGTGTTACGTAACGGATCGGCGCTAGATCGCCGGCCAGAGTAACTGTATTTTCGAAGAAGAAGAAGCCTCTCCTTGGCCGAAGAGGAAATCACGAAGCAGAACTTCGCCTCTGGGACCGGGATGACGACGTGTGGGCCTTCTATTCTCCCATTTTTCCGCCACACCGATACCTTTCTTCCAAACGTGATGGTGGATAGGAGATGGAGAAAAAAAATTATATATCGGCCAGTTGGCCATTGATATAATGAGTGTTTTTGCCTGTGGTGCAGGTGAACGATGCTGTTGATTAGCGATCGAAAGATTAGTTCTATTATAATATCGATCGATCGATGGAGGAACAAAAATGGAGGAATGTTATGCTTCGTTGTATGCTAATCAGGTATGTGGTAAGAAGCGTATAAGGGGTGTAAGATATTTCGTTATTATAAATTATTGAACTTTAAATATTCGAATTTAAATTTAAATGTGAATTTTAAATTCAGAGATTTGGAATGTTACTTTTTGAAGGTGTTTAACATAAATATTGAAGATTTTTTAACGAAAGTAGATAATGCATCTTGATGTACTTTATGCAAACTGTAATTTACGACTGTTCACGGTTTCATCGATTTCCTAGTTTAATTTTTTTCAAGATGATCAAAGCTAAGAACTGGACAGGTGAAGGACATTAATAAGTAATCAATAATAAAGCTTGATACAAAATAGGTAGTATAACTCTTATATACTATTACAATTTTTCTATTGCTCTATAGTACACACACGATTATTTCGTTTTCGCATTCAGCGATCAATTCAAACGATCGGTGATTACACCGATGACTAATCTTTTTTGCCATTACTCGTGAAGATCGAGTGAAAATTCTTTTCCAGATCCATGAAATCACACATTATTTTTCACGATATTCAATCAATATGGAAACCTTGAAAAATGCTGCAAACACTGCGAGAAATTTGCAATTTTCTCGACGAATTATTCAAAAGAAAAATGATCCCGATCTATTCCTAAACAAAAATGCGCTCAATTCCAATCTTAAACTTTAAAGAATTTAATCTCATCCTTTAGAAGCTGGATTCTCTCACGAATTTCCATCTCTCTCGATCTCCACCATAAAAGAAAATCATCTCTTTCCAGAGATCGTTCAGAGAGGAACAACGAATCGACGAATCGACAGACGATGAGACGAAAAGAACCGGAAGAAGATCGAAAGCGGAAGTTGCATGGGCAACAACTAGTGAACAATGCGCGTGTCCCAGTCGTTTAATAACCCTGATTTGTCGTTTATACGGGACGTAATGGAGAACGACAGAGATAGGAACGAAGAGACAGAAACAGAAACAAACGACAGAGGAGGAGGAAGAGAGAGAGAGAGAGAGAGAACATAGTAGAGGAGAGAAGGGGTGGTGGCGATGATGGGATGAGAGGGTGAGCATCGAGATCGCGCGCAACAACCGTACATAATCACGTAATGCGGTTATCATGCCAATTGCGTAAATATTTGAGCCAATTTGTGGCATGCAACCGACTCTCTCTCTCTCTCTCTCTCTCTCTCCTCGATCCGTGCACTGCTTCACGAGACCGCCACCCGATCGGCGACCTATTTAACGAACAACTTGTTGTCGCTGTTCGCCATCCTCTGTGAATCTCTCTTCCCTCTCTCTTTTATTTCTTTCCACGATGCCCACCTCCGTTTCCTGTCCTTGTCGCACGTTTGCACGAGGGATAATAATTCGATGGTGTCGCCGAAACACATTTCGACCCACTATTCCTACGATCGACAATGGGACACAATCGCGATACTCTCGTGCTCTTACATTCGCATGCACATGGGAGCGGATCGATCGCTCGACGCGATAAAAAGCTTTGGGAATTGCCAGGGTCGATATTTCTTTTTAAGATATTCTTTTTATGGGAGGAGAAGGATTGGGAGTGTTTCTCTCGTAATTTGGTAATGGACTTGATTCGACTGCGATGCGTGGTGTATATATATATATATATATATAT